TCTCTCTCTCTCTCTCTCTCTCTCTCTCTCTCTCTCTCTCTCTCTCTCTCTCTCTCTCTCTCTCTCTCTCTCTCTCTCTCTCTCTGTCTCTCTGCCTCACTCACTCTTCTCTCAATCCTTGGACCACTCTTTTCGCTGGTTGAAGACGCAGGCTTGGATGTGCACTTAATTGGTGTAAGTCTAATGGCATCGCTGAGCCATTGTCGAGGAGGGCAGATTTCTTCGGCACCATAGCAAAGGAGACACACTCATGCATCAACCATGCCCATGTAAGTGCGCAGATATGGGAACCACACCAAATTTGCCTTAACTTCAATACAAAATCGCTGCACAGTTCTCAATGCAATTGCAAAAAAAAAAGTTACAGACGCCATACTGCACACACAACATGAAGGTATAGCTGATGCAGCTATGGTGGGTTGGCCCCACAAGCTCACACTCTTGGAAATTTGAGATAGCAGGCCAGGCACAACTCCACAATTGGGTTCAAATTGAAACTCGATGAAACTTCCCACAAAGCAAACCCTGTCACTCGTTGCTACAAAGGATGCAGACCAGAGTTCAACGCCGTCTTCATGTGCTACAATCTCTACTACAACAAGCATGTCTCCTCCTGCTCTCTCCTACACAGCATCTCTATCGGAACATCGAAGTGACACTCTGACTCAATGTGTCCCTCTCCACCAAGCAAAAGCTCTCTCCTACGAGCGCCCGCCTGACACAGCAGCGCGGTTCCACTCCAAAAAGGCACAGAAACAACAGCTGCTAGATGGCAGCACGATTGCCTTACTACTTCTGCTGTGGCCGTTTTCTTCACCACACAGCGCACTGCTTGATTTCACGAACCAGCACAACACCGACTGAATCCTCAAAATGACGAAGTTTTCTCTCCCGGGGTACTTTCCCCCTTGCCCCAGGAACCCTCTGGATAAACTTGCTGGAGGCACACTTACCGCACAAATGGTACTAAGGATGGACTTTAGGCATACACAGGAACAGGTCTCAGGTTCAGGACTCCACAGCCTCAGTCAACACTCACAAACACATGGTTCTTCAACAGGCAGGCACACAGGTATGTCAACATTAAGGTTCCGTGTTCAAAATTCAGCAGCATGATCAGGCATACGATACAGCAGCACAAGGAACAACAACAGCAACAGGTCCCGGGATCAAATCACCGCAGGCTACGAAGGTGCAATCCTTTCACGGAGAGGAGCTGTGTATAGTGGACATTACAGAACACACACACACACACACACACACACACACACACACAAACACACACACACACACACACACACACACACACACACACACACACA